TAGGGCACAATGCAACAGGACAGGAATGAGGCTGAGGCCCCTCATGTCACATGGAAATCTTTCTGAAGTGAAGGCTCTCTCTGCCTGACTTCACAGAGCGCCCACCTAGCTAGGGATTGAAGTGTGTGCCTTCCTCTGGTGGGAGACCCAGGGTACTTGCTTCAGAGAGCTCTCCAGCCTCCCAGGGATGGAGGGAGGGAGGGAGGGGCAGCTTCTTTTCGCCACGCCAAGATGCTCCAGCTACTTTATGGGATCGGGGGAGGGAAGGGACCAAGCAGAAGGTGAGGACGGGGAGGTGGGGGGCCGTCCTTTTCATTTCCACTGGTCAGCGCCTGCAGAGAACATGCCATTCCAGCTGAAGCTGTGACAATAATGGAATCTGCCTTAATAACCTGGGCACATGAGACAGTGAGGGCAGACACACAATGCTTTCTTTGTGCCTGACAGTCGAGTGTCTTGAGCCAAAAACCTCCTGAAACTCCCTGAAGATAACATGAACATTTCTTCCCATGACAGGGTGCTGTGACTTCCAATAACCCAGGCAGCCCCATCTGCTTCCCGCCCCGAGAGTGCCTGGGCAAGAACAACAGGGTGCGTCACCACTGCTGGGGGCAGCTGCGAAGATGCTGAGATAACCACACGCCCTGGCGGTGTGCGGGGCAGGGGGGGGGCTTGGCGAGTGGAGAACAAGACTCCGGAGAGGCAGGGTCTTGCTGCAGGCACTTTAGTGAACCTGGGAGTTGAGGAAGCAAATCACTCTATTCCCACCGACACTGCACCGGGGAAGCCAGCTACTGGGACCGGCGGAGTCCTCGTGGTTTATCAACCTGCCTCTCTGCCTGCAGTGCAGTTAGTGTTTACTGAGGCCTTACTATGTGCCAGACACTGTGCGAAGTACTTCGCATGCATCATCTCATGTGAGACTCATTACACATCAACGGCATGGGTCCTAGCATCACCCTCACTTTACAGAGAAACTGAGCCTCAGGGAGGGTAAGGCCCTTGCCTAAGGTCACACACAGCGCGCCAGAGCCAGGATGGCGATCCAGGCCGCGAGTCTGGCTTCTTACCCACTACTCGAAAGCCAGACTGTGCAGGGGAGCTGATGCCACAGTTAGAGACCACAGTTGCATCCCCAGTAAGACGGTGCTAGGAAGGGGCGAGGGCGCCACGGCCCACGGGGCCACACAGGCGCAGAGGGTTTTCTCAGCTCGTGCATCTGCCCTCCCCTGTGGAGTCCCTGCCACTCCTCAGACTGAAACACCCACAGATCTGCCCGTCAACAAACTCTGGCAAAGCAGCTAGAAGCTGCATTCTACTTTTCTGTGGAGAACGAGGCCATCTCGATAAAGGTTGGGGAGTTGAGAGGATTTCTGTTTGTTTTGTTTTTTGGTAGTGAGTGTTGGGAATACAAGACCCTTTTCAAAACCACTTCCCTTTCAGATCTGCCCTGGATTACACTCTGGAGACCCACGGCCACACCTTCCCATTTCCTGCAGTGGGCCGGAGCCCAACACTGCACGCCCAGGTTCTCAGTGCGCCAGCTGAGCCTCCACAGATGGTCAGCCTCTGCATGGGAGGTAGACTCGAGTCTTCCTCCACAGCCAGCCTATGCTTGAAAAGGGGAAGGGCTCTTTTAACACGGGCCCATTTCCCTTTCAGTGACCTAACTTAGGACTTCCCAAAGATAGAGCTTTTGGTCAGGTGCTTGCTGAACACCCCTTCCCGCCAACTGAAGCAGTATCTTTCCTGTAGCTCTTGAGCTCTGAGCCAAGAAGGGACGAGGTTATTAAGACATGGAGACATAGAGAACTGCCAGGGGCTGGAATGACAGTCAAGGCCTCCACCGGGCTTCCTGGAGCTGTCACAGCGAGAGATGCTGACAGTTACGGTCTCCCAGATGAATACCAAGGGCTTCGCTCAGATTCGGGGTGGGGGGGGGGGGAGTGTGGGGCTGCAGCAGCCATTCTTCACTGGAGTCCCCACACCTGGGGGATCTTCCCAGCCTGCGTGAGGCAGCACAGCAATGGCAGGGGTCCTGCACAGAGGCTCAGCCTTGAGCTCCAAGTCCAGCTCTGCCAGCAGTAGCTTTTCCTCGCCTTTGAGAGTCACTGAGACCCCTCATCTCGGTTCCCCATCAGGAAAAATGAGGAGGCTGGGCCAGATGATCTCTAAGGGCTTCCAGCTCTAACTTTCTAAGAAGCTATGATTCCCTTTCTTTCCAATTCTGGAGATGAAATAGGGACAAAACCTGTGGGCTACAAGGGGAAAGGACTCCATTATCCCCGTGTTGAGTGACCCTGTGTCTTGGCTAGGAATGTAGTTGACAGTGGAGACGAATGGACCTGGAGTCCTGGAGAAGCTTCCGGGACCTTCATGCAGCCTGAGGGGGCCAGACAGAAAGGCTGGGATGTGTCCTTGGCAGGGGTCCCTGTTTCAGGCTCCCTCTTAGGAACGTGCGGACTGTACGCCAGATCCCAGAGATGAGCAGTCAGAAGCAGTGTGTTTCTCCACACCTGTGGAATCTACCTCTTCCACCTCCCAGGCTGAGCTGAGGAAGGACAATGTTACAGGACAGGAGGTCCCTGCGAGCCCCTGTCCATGCGAGGTTCTAGAGCAGCGGTTCTCAACCTGTGGGTCGCGACCCCGTTGGGGGTCGAACGACCGTTTCACAGGGGTCACCTAAGACCATCGGAAAACACATATATAATTACATATTTTTTTGTGATTAATCACTATGCTTTGATTATGTTCCATTTGTAACAATGAAAATACATCCTGCATACCAAATATTTATATTACGATTCATAACAGTAGCAAAATTACAGTTATGAAGTAGCAACGAAAATAATTTTATGGTTGGGGGTCACCAACATGAGGAACTGTATTAAAGGGTCACGGCATTAGGAAGGTTGAGAACCACTGTTCTAGAGCAATGCAACCGAGAATGTCAAGGCCCAGGCTCTGCCTTCCCAGCCCCACGCTGAGTCAACACTCTGACGCTATGCGAAGACCATGCGAGACAGAACTGAGTCTCAGAATGCAAGCATCGGGTTACTCACTGTTTTGGGGACAATCTGTTTCTTGGGTTGCCCAATCTTGAAAGGAATCCTATAAGGCAAAGAGACAGAGAGGGATGTTAGGAGAAATGGGGAAGGATGTGGCTAAAAAGAGCTGAGGAAATACAGGTAAAACACAGTGGCAGTGGCTCGCTTTCTGCCACCCGCACCACGTGCCCTGTGGGTCTAGGACAGGGGTGGGCAAACTTTTTGACTCGAGGGCCACAATGGGTTCTTAAACTCGACCGGAGGGCCAGAACAAAAGCATGGATGGAGTGTTTGTGTGAACTAATATAAATTCAAAGTAAACATCATTACATCAGTACGGTCTTTTTTTTTTTTTTAGTTTTATTCATTTCAAACGGGCTGGATCCGGCCCGCGGGCCGTAGTTTGCCCACGGCTGGTCTAGGACCATCAGCAGCCAGGCTGGGCTCTGGGACGGTCATGCTCCCATGGACAGCGTCAGATGGAGGTCTTGGGCACCACCTTCTGCCCCAGAGCAGGAGAGGGGAGATACTATACAAACAGCAGTCACCATAAACCTTGTGTCTCAAGGAGCTGCAAAGTTAGAAAGTACAGGCTCACTTAGATCGCTGTTCTCCTAGAAAACATGCCTTGAAAAGCATCATCAAAACCACACATCTCTATAGGTGCTTCACTTTTCCCTTCAGAGGGACAAACTGGCTCTGAAGGGCTTCTTCTATGGCTGGGAGAGATGACAAACTGTAGGGGCATTAAGGATCAGCCGGGCTGGACTATTTCCCGTGACAACTGACGAAATCTAAATGAAGCTAACTCCAAGAATCTGAAATCTAGCCCAACTCTGCCTTGAACTTGCTAGGAGGCTCTGCACCTCAGGTCCCCCACTTAGAGATGGAAGACAGCTTGGCAGAAGGGCAGGTCATGGTCTAGGAGTCTCAACCTGAGCACTAACCTTGCCTCCGCCTCCGCTGAGCAGGCTGCCCTTCAGCAGGTAACCACTGCCCTGTGCCTTAATTCCCTACTCTGTGAAGCAACAGGGTTAAGCTAGATAATCTAGAAGCTTCCTTAACATGCTGAAAACCTTATGATTCTAAATTCTGAGAAAAGCAGTGCTGCCAGACTAGAAAGCAAACACAGTGCACCCCAACAGCTATAGACATGTCGGCTTCACCCCCCTTCCCAGGGATCAGCTCAGGGAAGAGGCTGCAGTAGAGCCCTGAGGGGACAGATCAGACCACCACTCCCACTCCTTTCAGCCTCTTCCATTCGAACCTCCTGCTCCCACTGCTGCACCCACCCCGTCCACCGGGCCCCTTCCCTCTACACCCCCTTCTCCCAGCCTGGTTTCTCTTGGCCCAAACTGTTGCTAAACCCAATGGTATAATTAACCACCGATAATAACCCCAGACAGTGATCTGGTTAGAGGATGGGCCAGCCTGAGTCACAGTGGTTTAAATTTAATTTCTGGAGGACATCCTGTTTATTGTTAACCCACCCCGTAATTTGGGAGTGTTAACCCTCTGGGGACTGGCTGATTCACGTGGCTTCTGTAAACAAATAATCTCTGGCTATATAATTACTGGGGGGGAAAGGTAAGCTATGGAACTGAAAAGGAAAGAAAAAATGAAATTGCTATTTCCCTTTCTTAGACCTAAAGAGAAAAGGGTATGGACAGACGAGCTCCTTGATCCCTCCCTGGGCCCCCAGTTCCTTTCCCCAAATCAGCTTATAGTTGACTGACACAATGGTTTTGGACAGTGAACAATTGCCCTCAAGGACCATTTGGGTGACAGTACAAATGAGGTCCTGGTGGCATTGAGAAAAGACCGACCCTGTGGTGCGCAAAGCATGTGTGGAATAAAAAGCTCAGACCAGGAATCAGAAAGCCCATCTCTGCCTCTGACTAGTTTTGTGATTTGAACAAACTGCAGTCTCTCTGAGCTCAGTTTTTAAAACTATAAAACACAACAGTTGGAATAGATGGTCCTTCCAGCTTATGGAAACCGAATCTCCATTCTAAGATCATGGAGTGTCGGATGAGAATGCCAAAGGATCCTCAGAGTGGTCTTCAGGACGATGCTAACGGAGTCTAGTACTGCAGACTAGGTACCAAGAAATTAAGAACTTACAGTCCATTATTTGTGGAGCCACAGACTCTCTTTCAATCTTAATTTAGAATCACAGTATTTTTAGAACTGTAAGTTACCATAGAAATGTTTCCAGTTTAAACCTCTCACTTGTAGATGAGAAAGAGATCTGGAGAGGTTCCGTGACCAGCCCAGGGTCATTCTGCTGGCTCACAGCAGAGCCTGGAATACACCATCAGGCTCTGACGTCCAGTCCAGTTTTCTCTCCACTACTCATAGTTTCACACTTTCACAGGCTTTTGTTATTACCGTAGCCCCTTGGTATCCGGCGGGGATGCGGCCCAGGGCTCCCTGCGGAGACCAAAATCTGCTGATACTCAAGTCCCACATACAGAACGGTGCAAACAGGGGCCCTCTGCATCCATGGGTTCCCAACTGCGGATGCTGTTTTCAATATGCAGTTGATTGAATCCGATGTGAAACCTGAAGGTATGAAGCGCTGACTGTGTGTATTTTAAGAAATGGTATGTATTTTAAAGAATACTTCATTCCTTTAAAAAGTAAAGCATGCTCATCAGAGAAAACTTGAAAAATACAGAAAAGTATAAAAGAGAGAAAGGAGAGGGAGGAAAACCCCCAAATAGTCTACAATCTCATATATAAAAGATAACCAAGGTTATTGGTTTGGTATTAATATTTTAAAAATTTGCAGAAAGAAAAGAAAACGAACACAAATATGCCAAATGTTAGTAGTGGTCAACTCTAGGTGGTAAGAATATGATTACTGTTTTCTTATTTTCACTCTTCATATTTTTCAAATAAACTAAAAAAATCCCTTTAGTTTTTTTCCTCCTTGACTATAAAACTAGCATCTGATCAGTGTCAAAAACTTGGAAAACATGGAAAAACACAAATGACAAATACACAATTCCAAAATAAACAGTAATACCCCAAATTTCAGTGTGTACACACATGTGTACACATGTATATAAGTATTTACATAAATGTTAAAAGTAGAGGAAACATACCATGAATGTTTTTATATGCCAATATAGTTTTCATCATTAAAAGATACCTAGTGTTTCATTATACACCTGTACCACTAGTTTTATTTTATTTATACAACTTAAAAAATGTTTTTGATTTTAGAGAGAGAGGAAGGGAGAGGGAGAGAAGAAACATTGATGTGAGAGAGAAACACTGATTGGTTGCCTCCTGTACACATCCCAACCGGGGATTGAACCAGCGACCTTCCAGTGTACGGGACTATGCTCCAACCAACTGAGCCACACTGGCTAGTTTTATTTTTGTAATTCACATTACTTACTGGTGGTCACTTCAACTGTTTCAAATTTCCTTCTATTATAAACAAAACTAATAGCTAAATTTTTGTGCATATCAAGGATTAGTCACATAGGATAAACTCTTATAACTGAAATTGCTGGGTCAAAGAATATATACACGTTCAAGGCTTTGCTGTATTTGCAAATTGCCTTAGAGACAGACTAAAACAGTTTGTGTTTCTTAAAAAACAGAAATAGTTAACATTTTACCACCAGCCCTCTGGCCTGTTTAATTAGGATTTTTTCCTGGCTTGGGGTTTGCCTTTATCCTTTGTACATTGAGTGTTTACGGTATAGAAGCTTTTGTTGAATATGAAGACAAATCTAGCCAATTAATCTTTTCCCTTTATGATTTCTTCTTTTGGTGTAATCACACTGAGAAAGGCCTGCCTCTTCCACCTCAGTATAAAAATTCACCTATACTTAATTATATTTTTTTATCCTTACCTGAAGATATTTTTCCATTGATTTTTAGAGAGAATGGAAGAGAGAGGGAAGGATAGAGAGAAATGTTGATGAGAGAGAAATACATTGATTAGTTGCCTCTTGCACGCGCCCCAACCAGGCCTTGGGCCAGGGAGAAGCCTGCTACTGAGGTATGTGTGTGCACTTGACCAGAATCGAACCCAGGATGCGCCGATGCTCTATCCACTGAGCCAAACCAGCTAGGTCTACTTTATTACTTTTATGATTTCCTTTTATTAATCTAAATTTTACTTTGATCAGATTTATACATGTAAATAGTTTAATAAGGCACCAGGCTTTGTTAAGTAAAACATTAGGTTCTAGGCTAGTGGTCGCAAACCAGTGGTCCGTGGATCACTGGTGGTCCGTGAGGTCTGAAAGGTTGGCGACCACTGCTCTAGGCCTCTGAATTTCAATGCTGAGACCAGTGCTGTCACTAGCTCTGTGTTTCTGGTCGGCATTTGCATCTCCACATAAAAATGCTTGTATTGCTACTTCATGAGTGTTAAGTTTTAGGCACTAGCTATTTATCTTTTATTTTGAAAGAGGAAGACTTAACTAAACAAAGAAATCTCTTTACAATCTCCACCTCCGTAAGACAAAGGCACACTGGCAACTCTCCTTCTTCTCAATCCTATATAATAAAAGGCTAATATGCAAATTGACCAAACAGCTGAATGACTGGTTGCTATGATGCGCACTGACCACCAGGGGGCAGATGAATGCAGGCGCCGACCACTGCTCTAGGCCTCTGAATTTCAATGCTGAGACCAGTGCTGTCACTAGCTCTGTGTTTCTGGTCGGCATTTGCATCTCCACATAAAAATGCTTGTATTGCTACTTCATGAGTGTTAAGTTTTAGGCACTAGCTATTTATCTTTTATTTTGAAAGAGGAAGACTTAACTAAACAAAGAAATCTCTTTACAATCTCCACCTCCGTAAGACAAAGGCACATTGGCAACTCTCCTTCTTCTCAATCCTATATAATAAAAGGCTAATATGCAAATTGACCAAACAGCTGAATGACTGGTTGCTATGATGCGCACTGACCACCAGGGGGCAGATGACAGATGCAGGCGCTGCCCCCTGGTGATCAGTGTGCTCTCACAGGGGGAGCGCTGCTCAGCCAGAAGCCGGCTCAAGGTGGTGGGAGCCTCTCCCGCCTCTGTGGTAGGCAGACATCCCCTGAGGGGTCCCGGACTACAAGAGGGTGCAAGCCAGGCTGAGGGACACCCCCCGCCCCCACCAGTACACGAATGTCGTGCACCGGGCCTCTAGTATATATTATAATTTGGTTAGGGCAATACTAAGTAAACTATTAGGAGCCTAATGGGATGCATTTTCCTTCCTGCAAACAGCAGCCAGTAGATTGTTCAGCTCAGCCAAGCCTTCAGAAGACTGCAGTTCTGGCTGATGCACTGAATTGTAACCTCGTTTCCAAGCCAGATCCCCCAGACACTTCCACATCCCTGACCAACGGAAACTGGTATTGTTTTGAGACACTAAGTTGTAAGGCAATTTGTTACACAGCAATATATAACTAGTAGCATTGCATGTTTTGCTTTCATTACAATAATTGTCACTTTTCTTTCACATGCTTAATTTTCCATGTATTTACCCCTAATTCCACCTCAGTTGTATAAATCTACTCCCAGTACATTAATTTCTATCAGGTATTCTATTATCTCCACTTGGGCCTGCTCCAGCTTGACTAGGTCACCTCCATTTGGTGTACAGTAGGCATCCTGGGCTCCCCCTTCATCTTCCTCACAGAAGTTCCTTTAGCCTCTCTCCCATGAATTTTGATACCTGGATTCCATGTCTTCCTTTCTTGATTTATTCTTCATTTAGGTGGAGAAAAAGTGTGTGCAAGATAATTTTTAAGACTTTACATACTGAAATGCTTTTATTCTGTCACACTAGTTTGCCTGGGTATAAAATTATAGGCTGGACATAATTTCTTTCAGAATCTCGAAGGCATTGTTCCACTGGCTTCTCATCTCCCAGTACTGCTGTGATTTTCATCC